GTAATGGCTAAAGGAGGAAAACCAGGCCTCTTTTTTTATAAATGCAGAAAAAACATTTAATATAGTATAACATCTATTTCATATTTTATAATTAAAAATCTTAGCAAACTAGGAACAGAAAAAAGAAGGTCCTTAAACTGATAACCAAAAACCTACATCAAACATTTTTCTTAATGGAGAAACATTAGGCACATTCCTTTTAAGATTGGGAATAAGACAAAAATGTGCTGTTACTGCTACTCTCTAACAGGGCAGGAGATCCCAACCAATGTGGTAGGAAAAGAGAAAAAGAGGTTTAGCAATTTGAAGGCAAGATAAAACTGCAATTATTTATTAAAAATATGATTATCTACATAGAAAAACCAACAGAATAAAGAGCCTATTACAATTAATAAAAAACAATTGAGCAGGGCCAACCTGGTGGCATAGTGGTTAAGATCACACGTTCCGCTTTGGTGGCCTGGGGTTCACTGGTTCACATCCTGGGCACAGACCTACACACTGCTTATCAAGCCATGCTGTGGCAGGTGTCCCACATATAAAATGGAGGAAGATGGGCACAGATGTTAGCTCAACGCTAATCTTCCTCAGCAAAAAAAAAAAAAAGAAAATTGAGCAAGGTTATCAGAAATAAGATCAACTTATGCAAATTTCTAACGTTTCTCTACACCAATGGTTCTCCACAAGGAGTGATTTTGCCTTTCAGATAGGATTGATAAATTTAACAAATGTAATTAAAAAGGACATTCAGTTAAATTTGAATTTCAGATAAGAAATAAATAATTACTTAGTAAAACATGTCCCACACAACATTTGGGATGAAATACTAGGTGTCAGTATTTTATGTGGCAACCCCACCCCCAGGGGACATTTGGCAGTGTCAGAAGACATTTTGTCACAACTAGGGAAGGGATGCTCCTAGCATCTGGTGGGTGTAAGCCAGGGAGCTGCTACCATCCTGCCATGCGCAGGGTAGCCCTCTCAACAAAGGATTATCCAGCCTAAAATGTCAGTAGTGTCAAGGTTGGTTTATTTGTGATAACTAACTAGAAAACATAATAAAAATCAAGGATCATGCACAGCACTTATAAACTGTCTGGGGATGAACTTAACAAAGAATTCGTAAACCCTCTCTAGAGAAAGCTTTGAAATTCCGAGGAAAGGCAGCAAAGATTATATGAATACAAAGACATTCTATGCTCTTGTGAACACACAAAAGGTCAATTCTGCCCCCCAAATCAGTAAATTCACTGCAACTCTAATCAAAATGTAAGCTGATTTTTTTCAAAGATTTGATAAACTTATTCTAAAATTTACATGGAGGAATAAAGGAGCATGGCAAGCACAGTCGAATCTGAAAAAGAAAAGGAGACTTGCCGTGCTGGATATTAAGGCACCCTGGAAAGTCGTGGTAATGGAAACAGTCTGTTACTGGTTCAAGAACAAGCAAAAGAGATCAATGGGGCAGAAAGGAGTGCTCATAAATAGACCCTTGCAAGTTTATTATATTTCAGAAAAGCCGGCACAAATCAGTGGGAAAGGGCAGACTCACTAATGATATGAAAAAAAAGATAATACTGGACCCTACCTGATACTGCACAGAAAGATGGACTCCCTAAGGGTTTTACATTGACCCTTTAAAAAGTAAAACTATAAATAAAACTAATAGAAGACAATGTTAGTGAGCTAAGAGTGGTAAAGATCGGTAGTACAAACCATAAAGCAAGAAAGATCAGTAGATTTGATTACATCAAAGGAAAGGATTCCTAGTCAGCGAAGGATGCCGTGGACCAAATTAACAGGTTGGGAGAAGACGCATGCAATATCTAAAGCAACAAGGGACTCCAGCAAATCGGCAAGGAAAAAGAAAGAACTCTCAATGAAAAATCAGCAAAGAATATGGACAGACAATTAACTGAAGGAAACCTAAAAGGCTAAGAAACATATAAAGAGATGCTCAAACTCCGTATAATTAGAGAAACATAAATTAAAACAACCACACAATCCACTTTACACTCAGCACCTTAATAAAAATTAGAAAACTTGGGGCCGGCCTGTGGCCGAGTGGTTAAGTTCTTGCCCTCTGCTTCAGCAGCTCAGTGCTTTGCTGGTTTGATCCTGGGCGTGTTTATGACACTACTCATCAGGCTATGCTGAGGCAGTGTCCTACATGACACAACTAGAAGGACCCACAACTAGAATATACAACTATTTACTGGGGTGCTTTGGGGAGAATAAGGAAGAAGGAGAGAAAGAAAGAAAGAAAACTGGCTAATGCCAAGTGCTGCTGGAATTCCCTACTGGGGGGTTTGGGGGGCGGGGCACCCTCTCAGGAGAGTAACCTGACAGTATGGGGTCAAATTAAGAAAACGCACACCCTATGATCCAGCTCTCTCCATCCAGAGAGATTAGCACAAAGATGATTAAGGGGACATGTACAGAGATGCTTGTTGCAATGATGTGTTTGTGCAGTGCGAGCTGAGTCAATCCACACGTCCATCACTGGGAGCATGGGTGGGAAGAGAGCGAGCGCATGGGCACAATGGCATATGATGCAGTCACTGGAAGTAATGAATTAGATATACACATAGCAGCATATCTGGGTCCTTAAATCACGGCGCTTAGCAGAAAAAAACAAAAACCAAAAAGTGGCTTTTAGCCAATTGCATTTTGCAAATCAAAAAAGCATGCAGACAAAACAATACATGCTTCACAAAGACACACAAATAAGTTGCACATCAACACAATCATATGGTTGCCGATCGTGGGTGGAGAATGAGAAAGAGGATAAAAGGAAATAAGAAGATAAAAAAGCAAGAAAGGACCTTGCAAAAATTAGAAAATGCCCTGAATGGAGGAGGAGGAAGATACTGCAGGATTCCACCCCTGGGACCCAAAATAAAGAAAACAAAGCAACAAAGAAAGAGAAGAGAGGCTGATGGGCTTGGCAGAAGCTGGAAAAGCTATCTCCAAGATGCAGGCAGCCTGAGTGCAGACTGTCCATTTGTTTGGAGGAAACGGATTTCCCCAGTGGTGCGGGACCCCACGGAAGAGGTGGGAGTGGGGCAGGGAGGGAGCCTGAGGGAAGCCGGTGAGTGCAAGTGGCCCAGGGGCTCTGAGGGCCTCCAAGTGCAAGACCCGTTTTAAATGATACACTGAGAAAATTCCCTTTGTCGGGAGTGTCTTGCCCAGTATTATAATCTGTGGGGCTTTAAGGGTGCATGTCCACCCGGGAGCCCAGTAGGAAAAGGGAGAGCAGCCCTTCCCCAAGTTCTGCGGGGTGGGCAGCAGCGAGCTGGGGAGGGGCTGCTCCCAAAGCTGCCCAGAGCAGAGCGGCTGCTCCAGAGCCCGGCGGCGGGGCCCCGCCTCCCAGGGGGCAAATCTGAACGGGGCTGCTGAGGAGCGGGGCTGCAGCCCTTACCACAGAGGTGGGGGCCTCATCCATGTCCACAGTCCAACTGGGCAGGAGGGACATTCAGGGAAACACATTATACCTCTTATGTCATATATAGTTTACTAACAAAAAACAGGATCATAACCTACTGCTCTGTAACATACTTTCAGCATGAAGCAGGATGCCATCAACACTTTCTGATATTAAATATCCTTCTGTAACACTGTAATGGTTTTACAGGGTACATGCCAGTTCCTCGTAGGGCTGCAGGCCCCGCCCTTCCCTGCGCTGGCTCCGTCTCACAGGTACCATTTTCCAGGCCTCCTGTGCCAGTTCACTTCCTGCAATATGCAGTCAATGGGAGACCTGCAGAAAACTAGAGGGTGGGAGGGAGAAGCCCTGTGGTTCTAGCCCCTGCACCTCCTCTCCAGCTTTTGGACTCTAGTCCAGCCAGTGGGATAGAAGTGGCCTTTTTTTTTTTTCTGGATGTTGCTAATCTCTGGGGCCCTTCTGTGTGGCTATGTATAACCAAGTCCCTGTGTAAAATCTCCTTTAAATAACTAGAGCGAATTGTCTTACTGGCTGGACCCTGACACTGGGGGACAGACCCGCTGTATGGAGGTCCCCTTTTTTATTAGAAGCCATACAGTAACCAATACCCTTAAAGCTAAATCTGAGACCCCAACTATGTGTATTTCTTCCGCACAAATTTCTAGAAAATTACACAAAACATGCTCTTGATGCATATGACCAATTTCCCTCTGAAATGGTTGTACCAACTCTCACTCCCACCAGTAGCATATGAGAACGGGCCCATAATTTCACCAATCTTAAATCGGAAAAACAGGGTCAAATTTTAATTTCTTCACCATGAGGAAGGCCAAATTTTGTTTTGGCGATCTCTAGTGTCCTTTTAGCCTTGGTCAGCTTCCTCCCTGTTAATGTCAAGTATCGACGTCAGTGGGTGTCACTAGGGACTTTTGAGGAATTTATTTCCCAGATTTATGTTTTGCTTATTAAGGAGAGGACAGAGGCAGGTGGGTTTTAGATGTTCATATAAGTCATGCGTCCCATGACGGCAGGGATACGTTCTAAGAAATGCATCGTTAGGCGACTTTGTTGTTGTGCGATCAGTGTACTCACACAAACCTAGAAGGTATAGCCTGCTACACACTTAGACTATACAGTACTAATCTTACGGGACCACCGTTGGCCATGTGGTCCATCATTGACTGAAATGTCGTTATGCGGCGCATGACTGTATATCCTGAGTGTGCATCGCATATGGCTATAGAGACCAGCCAGAGCCCTTGAGGGTTCAGCTACATCTCAGCCAAACAGCAGACTGCAGCACCAGCTCTGGTTCTTCAGTGGTGCTTGAAATCTAGATCAAAGATGGCCTAGGAAATGTCATCTTCCAGTTGCAGTGAGACTGAGTTTCTGGGAAGAGAAATATCTGGGGTCAAGGCCAAGTCTTGGCCACACGCCTCTCAAGCACATACAGTCAAAATCACAACACCCGTAAATTACTCATACTGGCCAGGAAGTACTAATATGCCCCAAAGATGACTGCCCTCTTGAAAATGCTCAGGAATCACACTTTGAATATTTTGAAAAATGTTAAAATTTATTAATAATAGTTAACATCACATAGTTAATTCAACTAGTTCTTTATTGTACAGACATCTTCACTAGACTGAATGTGAGGATTTGAGATGACCCACTATTCAAAACGTCCCAAAGATGGAGATGAGATTCACTGTATTTACATCAGGCAAAGCAGCGTCAGCAAGGAACTGTCACCTAATCGTGAGAACACAAACATCCAAAATGCAGTTGCCGGCGTTCCTTTCTGGAAGCCAAGAACACATAGCCACACGCACAGCTCTACCTTTAAAAAGAGTGCAATTGCATAAATGGTGCCTAATTTCCAAGTTTAAAAGTAAAAGTTCATCTCTATTCCTCAGCCATCCTTTAGTGAGACACCAATCTAGACACTGTTCTCAGTATAAGTTGTGTAAATGTACAAAAATTGTTTGCTACTGGAGCCAGCCCAATGGCATAGTGGTTAAGTTTGGTGTGCTCCGCTTCGGCGACCTGGGTTCGGTTCCCGGGCACGGACCTACACCACTGTTGGTGGCCATGCTGCGGCGGCAGTCCACATACAAAACAGAGGAAGACTGGCAACAGATGTTAGTTCAGGGCGAATCTTCCTCAACAAAAAAAGAAAGAAAGAAAATTGGGTGCTATTGAGTCGTGTCTTTCCATCTTGCTCTTTTGATTTTTGTATCCTACTCTGTAATGTTACAAGACCATTCCCTCTTTATCGTGTAGTATTCAGGTATAATGTGTGTGAGTGTACACATTTTAGGGCAGATGTGGGTCTTCAGATTCAGAATTAACTACACTTTTGAAAAGGAGGGGTTTTATGCCACTCCCACCCCCACCCCAACCCCAGCAGTTTAAAATATAAACACTGAGTATAAAAAACAGCTCAGCCTAGAGAAGGCCTCGGACAACACTTCTTGTAAAACATTTACAAAACACACCAATTTTGCTAGGAGGGCACGAATCCACCGAAAGTGTTGTCCCTGAGGTTTTATTTGTATGATTGTTTCATTGTTTTGTTTTGGTTTGCTATCAACAGTTAGACACAATTTTTAAAAAATGTTTTTAGTGGCTTCCTTTGTCTTGTCTTTAAAAGACTCCTGGCTGCCTAAGAATAAAGATTCCTAAACAGTGAGTCTGTTTGAAACGATCTCAGTTTCCTTTGGTTAACATCCCGTGTAATATTGCCCCAGGAAAGTCTCTGGACAGAGCAGCCAGTTGCTGTGTTTCTTCAACCCAAAGGCCCGACCTCCTTCACTTCCTCCCTCGCAGCTGCCTTCCGAGTGTCCAAGTCTGCAGGGAAATGAGGAGCCGGGAAGGAGCTACTCGGCCGCTCACTCACCCTGAAGAGTCTTCTCTTCTCTTCCCGCAGGCGAATGAGGTATTTTTAGTAAGCAGTCAGTATCTTCACCTTCCATCCTTTAACTACACTGAACTACCAGTGAGGCCAAGTCTGAAGAGCCCCCATGTATCTATATACATAACAAATTAACATATAAATACATTACATACAATTGATTGCTACATACAGTATCAAGATGAAGGAGCAGATGTACTTCACGAATGAAACAAATTTGAAACATAAATTAAAATGAAAATACAGTGTTTCCACTTCTCAGGAAAAATTTTAAAAACAGACCAAAAAGTTCCCCTCCCCCCAAAGGTCTATTGCTCATGGATGACTCAGGAACCCACAAGGAGATGCGACAACAAGCCCACTCGGCAGGAAGTATCAGCTCTTGGCTTTGGTTTTGCTTGCTCAGACTCAGGATGCTTCCATTCCAGGAAGAGCATCTGCTGGAACCCACCAGGCATACGCTTGCAGATGAGGTTGAAGAGGGGCCGCCAAAGGTGAATCCTATTGCCACCCCTCCTTCCCCCACCTTCTGCTGTGGGAGAATCAGGCTCAAGTTAGTGGAGACCTCATAGATCTCTGAGAGGAAAAACAGTCTCAATCTCCGTGCCAGGGACATTCTCCACCTAGAAATGTCGTGTTCAGGGTCCCAGGTGAAGCAACTGTATGTTTTCATTATTGTCCCCATCCTGTAGGATCACACAGGAATGTGGAATTTGGCCAACGGGATTACTAAAGGTTAAAATTTGTTTTAAGTTTTAAGAGAACCAATGGGAACAGTTGCGATAGGTGTGAGCAAATCCTTACTTCAAACTGTATTGATCTCAGGAGGGCCAAGGCTTGGGCACCAAACTCTACAGTGAGTATACACAGAGATAAAACCCAATCTGATAGGGTCCTCTCTGCCAAGTAAAAGCCGAGGGGTCTGTCTCTGCCACGGGGGATGGCATCTATAATTTAAAGCAGGAAGGAGGGGGAACCGGAAGTCCCGTCCGATTTCAGGGACTCTATCGCTGTCCAGCCTCACGGATGCGGCAGGCCACGGCAGTGATGAGAGCCGCCCCCTTCCCACTGCCGTCCTCTGACTCGAGGAAGGACACGTCACATTTCGGAGCCAGGTCCTTCACTGTCTCACGCATGACTTTGGCAAAGCTGGAAAAGTTGGGAGGAAGACACAGAAAAAAACACCTTAGTTATGACTGATTTGTGTCCTCAGAGATAAGACCCTAAGAAGTGATGCTGAGAACCCAGGAATAATTAACATGAGGAAGAGGATGACAGCCACTACATATGAAACACTTACTATGTATTTTGTATCAGAAAACCAAGGCTTGGAGAGGCTAGCAACATGCCCAGATTCTATGTCGCAGGGGGCAAATGGGGAGCTAAGATTCAACTGTGGGACAACTGTCAGAGATTCTGGGAAATTGTGCTCTTAAAACCAATCAGTGAAAGAGAACTTCAACAGTCATGGACGCCACCGTGTGCCTTGCAGAAGTGCATAACCTGTTCATATCTCCAAAGGGAAGGACCAAGCCTCACGCATGTGATGTTCTATTTTCCAGGGGTATTGACTCAATCAGACTCACATCTAACCCAAATGGCATTAAAGGCAAAAGGAGCAGGCTTCAGGGTTGCTATTGGGACACTTCGGTGATCACAGATCTTTTCAATATGAGACTAGAGAAAGGGATAGTCATCATGTGCCCCAACACAGCAGGGTCAGGATGCCCCTCCCCATCTGCAAGACCAAGCCCCAGTGCTGTGGCTCGGGCTTCTGTCTCCCTCCCAATCCTCATCTGGGACTGAGGCTCCTATTTTCACAGGGACACTAATCATCAAGAAAAGGGACCTGGAACTTCTCAAGGTCTACTCTTTTCACTAACTGTAGACTCTGGTCATGTCTCTTAGCTCCTTGAGACAATCATGGTGAGAGCAGGCAACAATTCAATCAAGGAGTGTCCCCATCCTCACTCCAGGTGCCCAGGCCAGGGGCACAGCTCTATTCTTTTAACTTTGAGCTGAAAAGCTTTCAGGGGAAAGGGATTGAGGCACTTCCTGACTTCAAAATGACTTATTCAAAACATATGCAAATGAGTGAAGAAGGGAGAAGAGAAATGGTGATGAGAGGAGAGAAAGGAGAAGAGAGATGGAGAAAGACAAGGAAAAGAGAATTCAGTACTTTCATACTAGGGGGTGGGGGGAAACTTTTTCTATGAAGGGCCAGACAGTAGACACTTCCAGTTTTGTGGGTCATGTAGTCTGTTGCGCCTACTCTGCCACTGTAGCTCAAAGCAACCATAGACAGTACATCAACGAGTGGGCATGGCTGCATTCCAATAAAACTTTATTTACAAAAGCAGTCGTGGCTGTAGTCTAACGGCCCTCACTCTAGACTGTAGAAAAGATCTTGCTCCAGAGTTCCGGCATACATTTACTAGAATGTTCAGAGGAGCACTGTTTGTAATAGTCAAAATTTAGAAATGACCCAAATATCCATTAGCAATAGAATAAACTATAGTATACTCATTCAAAGGTACACTATACAGCTTTGAAAATTAACAAACTACAAGTGCATACTTCAGTGTGGATGCATCTCAAACCATAAGTGTTGTGTGAGAAAAGTCAGTCACAAAAGAAGAGATGCCATATGATTCCCCTTATGGTAAGTTCAAAATTTAGTAAAACTAAACAACGCAGATGTGGTCCTAGATACGTGGGGAGAAGGGAGCAAGGGACAGTTACCAGAGCACCCACCCCTGGCAGGGAGACTGAAGGGTACAATTGGGGAGGGGCTCACAGGGGACTTCCGAGCTGGTGGGGAACACAGGCCTACCTCTGGTTATTCATCTTTAATCTGTAGTGTACACATCATATACACTCTGGAATGCCTGGTTATTTGCTCTAAAGTGCAGAGAGAGAAGGGAAAACAGGAAGGAACGAAGAGACAGAGGGACAAAGATGGACAGGTAGGGTGGAGGTCAGGCACTCACTGAGGATGTAGCTTGTAGAGGGTCCCGTCCACGCCCACTGTCACTTTGAGAGTGTCCAGCCCGCGGTTTTCTCGTATTTTATCCACCACCGCCGCCATGCCTGCACCACAGAGCTGGGCTGCCCTCTGTGCCACCACGGTGCACACCTCCTTGACGATGATGCTGTCGTCGCAGGTGCTCTCGAGCCCCAAGTGCTGTAGAATGGCACGGACCTGCTGCAGCGCCAGGCAGTCACTGAGGTGGGAGGGAGACAGCAAGTGGTCAGTCACGCACCAGGAGGGGCTGGTGGCCCACCGCTCCAGGGGCCTGCTCCTTTCTCAGGAGAGGTTCCATGGAGGCCTGGCTATCTGGGAGCTGGGCATAAAGGCCACTGCCCTGCAAGGCGGCTCTCGTTCTTGAACTCAGTTCAGGAACCAGGGCTCATCCCACTGGACCACACAGACTCTTCCCGAGTGTGAGAGGAATACAAAGAAACAGCAACCTGTTCCACTTTGCCCAGGCAAGTTTGGGCACTGCTACCAGAAAACCGATACTCAGAACAAAAGGAAATTCACTGTCTCTGTCTTCCACTCAGCTGGAAACAATAAAGCTAAGACAGTGCTCGTATGTGGCAGCTGCAAGGCTCATCCATGTCTATTCTCTCATTGCTGCTCACAGGTTGGCAGGACAAGCATCACCAACCAACGTCAGATCCTATTCTATTTCTACCCCCCCCCCCCCACCCCGGGCCGCTCTGAAATCTACTTGTGCACTATTTATGAAACAAACACTAATAAAACTGCAGGGAGAAAATGGACCCTATCATATAAAGAGAATTATTTGAGAACCCTGGAGTTATCTTCATGCACATAGACACGGTAGGACATATTCTTTCTAGTCACCGGTGCAGACAGCCTAGGGCCCCACTCATGGCAGTCGTCCAGTTCCTGTTTTTCTATACGCCTGAGAGCAACCACACAGCATGAATCTTTAAGGGGCTCTGAAATTCAGCATTCTCATTTGGAGCAGACTTCTCCACCATTAGACTGCAGGAGGATGCTTTGCTTTAATGAGCCTCCCACTGCATGGCCTGTTTCTTCAATGCCTGACATGCCACCTTCACTCAATCTCGGTTGCCTTACCACTGCAGCCAGCAGTTAAGAAGAACCTTCCAGGGAAGCATAAGTGCTTTCATAGGTTATCTTCCTCTGTGCAGTCCAATTTGCATCTTATGAGCAGGTATCTTTCCAACTTTGATATTTGGTCTAACCCAACAATACTACTTCGCCTGGGCTCATGCCAGTTCTGTAGCATGATTTTTCATGAGAATGTTATATATTTTCCCTTAAAATGCCAACTCTCCATAAAGTACTTTAAATAAACACTATAGATGTGAATGTGTTAGCTGCTAAACTAACCTCTGTGTAAGGCACACCCTGGTCTTACTTGAGCTATGGAAATCCTTCAGCTTGTCTGACCACGAGAAGGAGGATACCGGCCCACCCTACCCTGGGCCTTGAATTCTCACCTCTCAATCTGAGACAGGAACTTGGTTTCGAAGATTCCCCTTGTCTTGAGCCGCTCTGAGATGCGGCCACGGAAGAGCAGCCCACGCTTGGTGAAATCGATGAGGATGTTGCGGACAATCTCGCCCAAGTACATGCCACTCATCATTTTCTCAAACCTGCAATAGGGGTAATGTTCATGGAGGTTAGGCAGGAAGGTGGTAGGATGTTTTGAGACAGGGCATATCAGCTCAGTCACCCCGAATGCTTTAGAAAGTAGAGGGTGTGCAGATTCCTGTTGGTGGGAAAGGAAATGCTAGTTGACTCACTTGGGCAGGATTCCTGGTGTCTGCACATGATGACCCACAGCCTTTGGTGAAACTGACCACGGCGCCCAAGGCCCACAGGGTTCCCTGGGATTGGACCCACCTTCTGGGCTCATTTCCTTCCCAAGGCTTACTCCTGACTCCTCAAGAAGGAATACACACACACCCCACCACACTTCCAGGAGAAGAGTAGAACGCAGAGTTTTAATCCTTAACTTCAGCAGGCACTTGGCACACTTTCTTTTCGACCTAATCATTATCACTCAAGTAACTAGGGCCAGCTGGAGATCTCCTGTCCTGGCCACTAATACTGAAGGTGACCACTCAGTGGTTTGAGGGTCTTTTGGCAGCAGGTGGTTCAACTGGATATGTGTTGTTCCTCAGTCCGAGACCTAGGTTTTAACTCTCTCCCAGTCCCGAGGGGTGGCTGCTTCTTCCACATACTGACTCTGTGCTCCTCAGTGTCTCCTTTCTGTCTTTTCATCGCTCTACAGCCTGTGTAACCAATACCCCTTATGAAATTCTCCCTGCAACATAATTGTTATGATTTGTTTTCCCAACTGGACTTTGAAAGTGTCCAGTCCAGCAGGGGGAAAAGGGACTTAATCTAGAACTTTCCAGATGTATTTGACAAGAAACCCTTTCCAAAGAAATCCTCATCTATTAACATCTCTAGAGAATGAGCATCCTGGGACTTGCTGTTGTACAGATTCTCTTCACTTGTCACTGTCCAGTTCTGGGATATACATACTAGGGTCCACATGTACTTGGGTGCCTACCTCTGTTTGCCAGGGTTGAGGGAAAGCTCATCCACAGCCACATCAAATTCCGTGCAGAAGTCATCTAGGCATCCATTGTCCCCGAAGGCCCCCCACTCCGTGTTAACACACATCCGCCCCTCTTCCCCTTCCACCAGCTCCACGTTCCGCATCTCCTCCATGTAGCAGGCATTGCTGCCCGTGCCTGCCAATCACAGAGACGTCGGGGCCTCACCTAGCACCATCCTCCCACCCACCGGAGGCCATGGGTCCCCATGCAGGAAGGACAGCCCGGGTCCTTACCAACGATGAGGCCAACTTCACAGTGAGGGTCTTCATAGCCGCAGGTCATCATAGTCCCGACTGTGTCGTTCACCACAGCGACCACGTCCAGGTCAAACTCCTGAGAGGGCAAGAGCAGATCCCCAGTCCACAAATGAACCACAACATTCTCCCTTTGGACACTTGCAAAGGAGATTTATATGTAAATAAAACTTATACGGCACGGCTCATTCTCTCTTTTCATTCAGGTCTCTGCTCAAATGTCACCTCCTCAGAGACCTTCCCTGGTTATTTGTATTTCTATATTTTATATATATATACTATTTATTTATTTACTTATTTATATTCAAAAGAGAGTTCTTTCCCAGCACACTCACCCAACTTCATTTTCCTTCACAGCACCTGACATTAGCTCATGGGTTTGTTTATAGAACAAGAGTCTGTCGTGGTCACTCTGGAATCCCAGTGCCAAGAGCAGGGCTTGACACGCAGTGGGCACTCAAGAATTGCTGGAGGACTTAGTTAATTCTCCCCCCAACCAAAACGCCCTTCACTCAACATCTCCCCAACTTTCTGAACACAGATCATTTCACGCCTCAGGCCACATCTCTCCCACCTCACGCCGGTGGATGGCTTCCTTCAGCAGGGTGACCACGTCCTCGCCCTCGCAGCCAGACGCCTTGAAGCCTTTAGTCCACTTGAGGAGGATGCTCTACAAATCACACACGAGCATGGATGAGGGTCTCAGAGAAGGAATCACTCCCAGGGGCCGGCTGTGTGGCTCGTTCTCCACCTCCCGGGTTACACAGATTTCCTTTAATAACCAATCATCTCACCCACAAATGATTCTAAACCTGTTCCACTTGCTTGGATTTATTGAGTGCCAAGGTGCAACAGGCACCGGGCTAAGCACATCCCACATGCTACATCATTTAACCCTCACAGCAACCTTGCGAAATATTTATCGTTATCACGCCTATTTTACAAGTAACTTGCCCAAGGCCCGCAGTTTGGAGGAGACGAGTGGGACACCCCCCAGGGCCACCGACTCCAATGGATGGGCTCATGAGCACGACACACCTGCCCCTGCCAGGAACTAAGTTCTACGCACTTGTTTCCTTCACTGGGAAAAGCAGTTTCCCCTGTCCCTGTCCTATATTTACATCAGAGGAGTCGGTGCGTGTTTCTTAAATTTCAAACTCCAGTATGGAGTGAACAAGCACCCTGCCCATAGTTGGGGTGACATCTAGGCTTCACCACAGCTCCAGGGAGGGGAGCCCTCCAGGCTCCTTGGAGTCCCCCGGAGCCCCCTCGCCTCCAGTGTGGCCCTTCGCCGTGTCACAAGGCCCTCGAGGAGCAGATACACGGTGGCTTTGAACGTGGGAGGAACGTTCCAGGTTTTGATCCAGGATTCCCTCTTTGCTGCCACGGCCCTCAAGGAACGAGTGTCAAAGACCCCTGGCCCCCTTCCCATGAGGCCAAAATCCGTAAATGGGCTGTGTGCTCACTATCCACCCGCTTGCATGGTTCCTCTAGGCCTTGTTCGGTAGTTCATGCCCATCAGCTTGGCATTTCGTGGCCCAGGAGTTTGGTATCAAAAGTCAACCTGATGTGTCACACTGTGTTCAGATCCTGGGAGATTCAGAAAAACAAAGCACAATCTGACAGTGTCCTGGTTTACACACCTATATCAACAACTGCGTGCTGACCTCCACCCAACTTTCCTGTCTACCGATTAGCTTCATATCCCTGAGGAAATTTTGTATGGCCACTTTGAAGTTTACAGAATGTGCAAACAACATTATTCCATGTGGTCCTTCACAACAAGACAAGCAGAGGCCCCAACAGCTGGGGACACTCGCCCAAGGCCACCAGCCAGTCAAAGCAGCTTGAGGCCTTCAGGCCTCCGCACCTGCTGGTTTTTCCATCAACAGGATGATCTCACCAGAACAGAAGCCAGGTTACAGAGAGTTGGAACAACAGATGGAACTTCATTTGCTCTTAACTTTTACAATTCTAGACTGAACACATACATACTCCTTATGGAAACTTAGAACATAGGGAATAAAATCTAGTGTGATGACCTGGACTCCTACAGTTCAGGCAGAAATAGTTAACATGTCTTGGGGCCAAGGGGTAAATATTTAAAGATACATCCGTGTCAGCATGAAAAGAGAGATAGTATCTGTTTTAAAATATTTCAGTGGGAACAGCCCAGAAGCACATACACTGGAGTGTTATGTTTCTATTTTCCTATCAATTGCATTTTGGGGATGTTTCTATATTATAGAGATTATACTTTTCTTTAAAAAATTATTCTAGCTGTACCATCCATATTTTCCCATATCATTGAAATTCCTTCCAAAAAACTAGTAGCTGATAGGAGGCAGCAAATGGCTCATAGTTTATTATTTCTGTTGAACAATTAGGTTTGTTTCTAATTTCTTTGTTACAATAAATAATATTTCATTAAAAATTGCATAAATATTTATCCATGTTTGATAATTCCCTTTGCCAAACTGATGCAAACGAGAAGGCTTTGAAAACCCACTGTATTGGGGCCAGCCTGGTGGCGCAACAGTTAAGTGGGCACGTTCCGCTTTGGTGGCCCAGGGTTCCCGGTTCGGATCCCGAATGCGGACATGGCACTGCTTGGCAAGCCATGCTGTGATTGGCATCCCACATATAAAGTACAGGAAGATGGGCAAGGATGTTAGCTCAGGGCCAGTCTTCCTCAGCAAAAAGGGGAGGATTGGCAGCCGATGTTTGCTCAGGGCTAATCTTCCTCAAAAAAAAAGAAAAGAAAAGAAAACCCAACGTACTGACACTGAAAAAAATAATGTGCTGAGACGAAGAAACTGGAAAAGCTAAGAGCAACCCTGGACTAGTAAGACTGGACAGAGGTTAACAAGGGCTGGGAAATACTGGATGAGGCAAGGTTTCTGCAGGACATCCCCAAACCTTAACTGTACTAGTGCACAGGGTGAATTTAACTCTCAGGGGGGAGGAGCAGGAGGCATTTACAAAACTCAGCTGAGCGACATGAGGGCTGCCATTCCAGGGACCCCGTGGTCCTCCTCCACCCACTCCTCCACACAGCCAGGCCTGTCTGCCTTTCTTCCCCAACAACTCATTCTTCTGACTTGGATGATCCAAGTCTCCCTCGTGCCCTCCAGGGATGTGCTCAGAACAACATCACCCTGCACATCCTCAGGGCTCTAGCATCCCATTGGTGCCACATTCCAAACAGCAGCTTTGGCTTTTCTGAGCTTGCTTCATCAACCCAGTTTGTTTGAAAGCTTCTAAAGCAGGAACCAAGCCTCTGTACCCCGGCAACTCCGTCCACAGCATCCTGTCCACTTGTACCATGCATATAAGCTTCTAGCTGACTGATTGAGACAGAGGAGCAGAGTCTTAAGTTAACAGTATTCTGACATCTAATACACCAATTGTTGACCCAGAATAAGCCCAGGCATCGCCTACTCAGCTCTCCTACACTTCCCAACTCACCAAGTCCAGAATATCTGGGAGCACCACAGCTTCACCCACCAGCTTCATCATCCAAGGCAAGTTGAAAAGGAATGAAAAGCAAAGGTGTGACTAGAAAAGCACCAAGGCATCTAAACACAGGAGGTAAATGAAAACATCCTGAGCCCAAAACAAGGGCCTCAGGAGCAGGGGAGCAAATTGAGAGCATGGGCTCAGGTGTCAGGAAACTGGAACTCTAATCGTGGCTTGGCCACTCCCAAGCTATGTGATCTGGTGCAAGATACTTGCTATCTCTATAGACTTGTTTCCTCTTCTGCAAAATGGGTACAAACATCTACCTTATATGGTTGCTGTGAGGGTTAAGTGAGATAATGCACATAGGAAGCCTAGAATAGTAGCCGGCATCAAGTTCTTTAAAAATGTTAGTTGTTGATATTTTGATTAGCAGCAGCAGCATCCTAAAGATTGTTACCTTCTTAACCTCCACCAGCTCTGACTTACTCACTCCCATCAACAGGCCCCCCCTCACAATTGGACACTGGAAGGCTTTCATTTCCTTCTCTCAGCTCGACTTCCTCCCCTGCTCCAAGCTCCGGCTGGTTGGGAGTCAATAAAGCCCGCAGAAGAGCCCTCCAGGAAGGCACTGTTACCTCATCCAGTCTGTTCTGCTGGCAGGGGAAGGAGAAGGTGAAACCCAGAGGCAGGGACACGCCCTTCATGCCCATGTACTCAAGGAAGTCGGCGATGCACTGGACGATGTGGTCAAAGAGCTGCAGGGAGGAGGTGGGCTCTGAGTGAGGAGGGCAGTGGCCAGGGCAGGCTGCCCCCTGCAGGGCCTGAGTGCAAGCTTGAGAGCTCCACCCAGGAGAAAAGCAAGCTCAGGCACAAACCTAAGTAAAGACCAGGCCAGGGGCCTGGCCCACCTAGCCGTCCCCGGGACCATGGGTGAATAGAGAAAGCACTGTCCCCCCAGGCGAGAAGTGGGTGTCTACTGGGGGTCCCCTCCTGGAGGTGCCACCCTGCCTCACCTCGTCCCCTGTGCCATGCATGATATCCTGTGGGATGGAGTAGATCTTGTTGTGCATCTCCACTCCACGTCGCTTTCCGTTCCGCACACGCACCAGCAGGACCCGGAAATTGGTACCCCCAAGGTCCAAGGCCAGGAAGTCACCTTTCTCTGGAAAACAAACCCGAGAAGATGATGAGTTGGGGCATCACCATTTCACCACAGCAGACAGTGACAGCCTAAAGAACCTTCCTCTAAGGGGGAGCTCTCCCATGAGCCCCTCAACAACCTCAGGGGTGATGGATTATGAGCTCCACCTAACAGTAAAGAAAATAAGATCTTAGGACAAGAGACCTGCTAGCTCCTTATTGTTCTCAAATGAGTTCGAGTGGTGAGGCCCCAGAAGTCACAATGAGCTCTGCAGAACACTGGAAATGGTGATACAATACACTCAAAAGTATCCAAACACACCACTCGTACTAAATCAAAGGCCACCTTACATTAGGTTCTAGAATACAGAAGGAACAGCAGAGTCCTACTTTTTAAAGGACATTAAAGGGAAATCTTTTTAAATGAGAAAACTGTCCTTTGCTGGGCAATCACAATGTGCTATGTGCCTCATGCAGTCCTCATGCAATCTTAGGCCACCCTGAGAGGGAGGCGTTGCGTTCCCCTAGGATGGAGGAACAAAACCTGGCTGAGCTAGGCTGAGTCCCTTGCTCAGGACCACGCAGCCAGATGAGGGTAGAGCAGGGACCATGTCCCCATCTCTACTTCTGGAACCTGTACCAACGGCGCTACATTGGCCTCCTCGATCATTTTCTCTGAATTGGGAAAGACCACCATTTCTTAGGTTGCAAGACCTAGACCAAGGGTTAGGAATCTTTTTCTGCAAAGGGCTGGGCAGTAAATATTTCAGCCCTTATGAGCCATAGTCTCTGCGGCAACCACACAACTTTGCCATGGTAGTGCAAAGCAGCCATAAACAATACATAGACAAACGGGCATAGCTGTGTACTAATAAAACTTTATTCACAAAGATAGGCAGTGGGCCAGATTTAGCCCATGGGCCTTAGCTCGCCAACCCCTGACCTAGGGCTTATAAGAGATGGCTCTGGAACCAAAATTCCTGGGTTTGAATCCCAGCCCTGCCATTTTCGAGCTGTGTGAACTTGGGCAAGTTTCTTAATTTCTCTGTGCCTCAGTTTTATGCCAAACACAATAGTTTGCTAATAAACACAATTAACTACTAATCTCTGTTAACAGTTAAAGATTAAATGGATTAATATGTATAAAATACTTAGAGAAGTATTAGACACATAGTAAGTATTCAAAAAATATTTACTATTATTACCGTTCAATTTTTAGCAGAGAAATGCCTTGGTCAAGCTTACTGAACACTAGGATTTCCTACTACTGTAGCTGAAAAATAAGTTCTGGTCCAAACATCTAATGCTAAAGCTAAGAGTCCTCCCAGAGCATCAGCACCAGGACAAAGGCCCACGGTGGTGAGCTGGGTGGCAGCCCTGCCACGTACCTGTGCCATCAGGGGTGGCACACACGTAGGTGGGTAGCATCTTGACAGGGGCACTGGCATGAGTCTCCTTGCTCAGACCTCGCTCCATTTCTACCTTCATCCTCCTCTTGACCTCCAGCAGCTGCTCACGGCTCAGCTTCAGAGGCTCCAGGGTCTTCAGGCGGGCTCGGTGCTGGTAGGCCAGCCGGTAGGCCACTGCCGTCACCATGGCTGCCCCCTTGCCACTGCCATCCTCGGAGCAGAGGAAGCGGATGTCACAGTTGGGCACCAGGCGCCGCACAGTCTTCTGCAGACGCTTAGCAAAACTGCAGTCACCGAGATGGGGTAAGAGATGGGTGTCCAGAGTTAGGTCAATGGTGCAAAGGGTTGGGGCAGCACCTCCCCACCTCAGCCCAAATGCCAGAGGGCACCTGCGGGAGCAGATGCTGCCCTGACATCCTTTCCCCACTCCTTCCCAAGTCATGGGTCACTGTAAAAAACCTGACATAGGCAAGGGTGATCACACTGGCTGGGTTTAACCTTTGCTAAAAGGAAAGGACCCTTCCAGGAAGCCAAGTCCCCTGCATGAGGTCACACAAGACCTCCTCTTCCCACAGGCCACAGCTCCTCTGCCCAATGCATCAGCCTTTTTGCCAAAGCAGCCCAATGGAATCAGGTGATCCTGACATCACTACTATTCATGTTTCATCACTCATTTCATTAGATGCTGCCTGGAAAAGACCCAAAACAGAAAAAGCAGAAATGCTTTTCTGGATTTTGGCCTCTTTCTGGCCAGTTTCTGCCAACAACCCCAAAGGTGTCTGAACAACTAAAGACAATAGGTGTGTTCAGACAGAAATGCTCAGGTGGCGGCTGCTCTGAGCCATGGTCACCAGGGCCTCCCGACTCCGAGCCTTTCAGGGATCCCCAAGTGCTCTGGGAGCTCAGTCTCTATAGGTCCCCAAACACCAACTCACTGAGGGTGTTTCTTGTAGACGGAGCCATCAACCCCAATGGTGGAGCGCAGCCGCTCCTCGCCCTTGTTCTCCTTGATCCGCTGCAGCACAGCCGCCAGGGTGGCTGCGCACAGGCTGGCTGAGCGCGTGGACACGATCTGGCAGATCCGGTGAGTGGCCACGCAGTCCTCCTGTGTCGGGTCCATGCCCAGCCGCACCAGGACCTCGCGGGCCTTCTGGATGCCATCCTTCTCCCTGGGAAACAGAACGACAGCTCGTGGGCACGTGTCCAACCCACTGTGGCCAGTGGGAGAAGGGTGTGTGGGCTGACAAGGAAAGCCCTCAGCTCCAGCACACGCCATCTCCCAGGGAGGGCAGATACTCACTTCGCTCCGCCTACATATGGTGGGTAGAACAAGAGGGGGGAAAACACAACAGGGCCAACTTGAGGCTCCTCTCCCAGACACACACACACACACACATACACCCTCAGTGCTTCAGATATACCTTTTTCCCTGATGAGAAAAACTAATATTTCTTACACACAGAGTATATAAGGACAAGGCCCTGTTCTCAGAGCTTTATGCACTGAGCTGTGTGGGTGTGAGTCTGTGCTCTACTGCATTTCACAACCGAGTGGGCACTGCCTTCACTTGTGCTAAGGATGGTGACAAAGGGCTGGTGCTATGGGATTAGCACTCTTCTCAGGGGAACTAAGTGCTTCACAAATAGGACTGTCACCCCCTCAGAGTTAACAAGTAGGCACAGTTCATTCAAGAGTTCCCACTTCAAGTCGTTTGAACAGTTTCGCTGCTCCCTTTAGCACCAAAATCATCTCCTCTCCACCGTGTGGCCCCTGAAACAGCAGGGCCTCCTCAAGCGACAAGTGGAAGTCTCAAGATAGGAAACTAGGCCCAACTCTTTGGATACCGTTAACCGAAAGACAAAAATTAAGACCATCCTCACTCCCACCTCCGCTGCTCTGTGAAAATGCAGGCCTCAGTTCTCCTTGTTGGAATTAAATGGGTAAATCTCGGGGTCGCCCAAAGATGCATTTTTCTGCTAAGAAGCAGGGGTCAGGATAGAGCCCCTTTTGAGAATCACCAATAAAGAATGAAATGTCAGAGCTAAAGGAGAAGGGAAAGGAAGTAGGTGCAAGTGAGTCATGAAGGGGCCCACTGGGAGCCTCCAGCAGTCGTAAGCCAGGCTCTCGCCACTCTCCGCCATGCCAGGCAGGAATGCCAATCCTTTCTGGCACTGTGAGTCACTTTAGCAGACAGCATGCTCAAAACAGACGAGAGTGGAGACAACCTGGTGAGTGAAGTCAAGCCAAAGGCCCGCCATGACCCAGAGTGGGTGAGAACCTCCTGCTGTCCACATATGAAGGGTCAAGGGCCAGGACCTCTTTCTCATTCCCCAGCTGCCTGTCCACTCTTTCCGGGGACCCAGTGAACAGAGAAGGACCCGGAAGCTTACCCTTCAATTTCTGAAACGTCTTTGGTCTCAAAGCGGCCCGTGGTGAGGAGTTCTGGACTGAGCTTCCCCCTGAAAAGCAGCTCCTCCTTGGCCATCTTCACCAGGATGAGCCTCACCAGTTCCCCCATGTACATCCCACTGATCATCTTCTCAAATCTGCAGGGAGATACAGACCAAAAGATGAAGTCCCTGCCATCCATGAACTCGTAACTTCCCTGCGGAGGCAACATGCACACACGTGAGGCTGAGGCACAGTCAAGCGTGAACTTGTGTGGCAATGACTAGGAATGAGATGAGTGGAGAAGTGACCGCTCAGGAGGGGCTGGAGGAGCTGAGGAGCTTGGGCTGTCTCTGCAGGAGAGTGGGCCTTGAACCACGGAGAAGGATGGGCCTTTAACAGCCGAACTAAACATCCAGGGAATGTGGAACATTCTGGAACAATCTGAATTTGAGGTAAAGTAAGTTACATGTAGGGTAGTGATTTTTAAAAATTTTTCCCTAGCAAGGAAATGCTTTTTGAAAATGAAACCTTATCTAGAATCTCAATGTTTGTTTATAAGAGAAAAAGATCAATCTGATTAAATTTGGGGCACAGGCCCAACAGCTCCTCACCTCACACTGTCCCTCCCCTTGCAAGGCCATTTGTGGATTCCTATGAAAACAACCCAGGGCCCCGGGGCGATGGGCAAGATTAGATGGGCAAGTTGGGACAGACGAGAAGGAGCTCTAAATGTCAGGTGGTCTCAGGAATCTGGGAGTGAGACACGTTGGAAGTTTCCGGGCAGGCAAGTGACAAGATAAAGGCATGTTTGAGAAAGGCAGAGACAGGCCCCCAAGCAGAGAGGGCAGTCAGGCAATTTATTTTTTCAACACTAGGTGACACTGTTTTCTTTAGAATACAGTCTTTCTGGCTCAGACTAGGTGAAACCAACCCCATATAATTCTTTTTGGCAAAGAAGGCCCTTTCTTGATGTATCAGAAAGGATCTGGGTCCAAGAGAGAGGAGGCACCCAGGGCCTGTGGTCACTAACTAGGCGGGGCTTCAGCAAGGTCTAGAACAGGGGTGTGGAAGGGATTCTGGCATCACCTGGTGCAATCTACAAGACAGGAAGCCAGGCCCTCAGGAAGTGACATACTCAAGACCCAAAGCCAGGTATAGGCAGAATTGGAGCTAAGTGGAGAGCTGGCAAAATAATTGGTTGAGCGGTGGATGCATTTAAAATGTTTAAGCACCAGCAGAGGCACACCATCTGCGAGGCAGCCCGGCCTCGACAGTAAGGAACTCCTGTGTCTGCATCTGCACCTTCTTCAAAATAGCTGGTTCTATGGGAGACAGGGGAGGGGGCCAGCGGGGCTCCGCAGTATGGGTGGTTTATAAAAGCTTTTATTCAAGTTATTAAAAACATTTTTTCCAGCCAACATTTGGAAAATATCTATTTAGGAGCATACAAAGAGTGAAAAAAAAGTTCCAACTCGAGTCTAACAATGACTTCAGGGCTCCCACAGCTGACACTTTGGTCTATGTCCTCCTAGCCTTTGATTTGTCTAAGGCTAAGCTGGTGTTCTGGTGCCAAGGCTGGGTTGGCAATTCTGTCTTCTGACACTTCAAAGAGCATATGGCTCCTTGGAATGGCTTGGGTGTGCCTCATTCATGGAGGCAGGCATTGAATTAGTGACTTTTCAGTCCATAAATTTCCCACCAGCCATGGCAGACACGGCCGGCGTCTTCCTATGAAAGTTATAAGTAAATGGACTCACGTTTCAACATGTGAGAGAAACTTGTGACTTAACCATGCTTTGAGGGAGCAAGGACTCTCCCTGTAAAAAAAGAGTCTCCTCCTCATGGAGCTGGTTTATAGGGTTGAATTTTCCTCTCCAAGCAGAGATCTGTGCTAGAAGCTTTCCTGGAACAGCCACAGCAACAAGACCAGAGAGGGCCTGAATGGCTCAAAACATTTTGCAGTTGCCTTCAGAGCTTGCAGCAACCCCTGTTTCAAGATCTTAATAGGGACATTAAGCAAATGTTTGTGAGAGTGAAATAATGTTTTGTAAGCGTCAAAAGTAACTAAAAACCAAGTCTGGCCAGGCGGAAGAGTCAGGGTCCAAAATGTCAGAGCCCCTCCTGTCTACTCCAGGACCTTGGCTGGGCCACAGGTCCTGGGAAGGTGGCCAAGGAGGCTCCTTAGCCAACTTTTCCACAGGCCTTGGGTCTGCCTACAGCTGGGACAGGAGGCTCTGGGACTCTGTGGGGTCCAGCGTGGCTCACAGGTAGCTCTGCTAGAGGTCTGAATCAGAGCCTCAGCCAGGAACTAGGAGCCAACTGTCAGCCTCATCGTCTGGGCAGTGATGGGGAGGGGAGGCACAAAAGGAGCTTTCAGAGGCCCTAATCTTGGCCATCTCAACACTTTTCTCATGTGGCTCACAAACTGTTTCTACAGACAACTTACAAATTGAAGGTGGAAAGCAAGAGCAGGGCTACACACTGAGACTCAGAATATGACCTTCCAACGTGACTGTTCTGAAGGACAGAGCCAAACAATTATCTAAAATCTGGTTTGTCCACTTGCTCTATCTTTTTTAGAGCCCTCTCAGCAACTTACAGTCACAATGTGTGTAATAAGCACAAAATTCCCATAACCAGTGGGTGCCTTGGCAACCTTTCAGGGACATGAGACTGCAAAGCAAAAATGAGAACCACTCCCCGGCCCTGGCCAGCTCCCACTTCAGTTCCTGAGCCCACCCCTCAAGCCCACCGCCCACAGGGGCTTGCTCACAGTTGCTGCCCAGGGTTCAGGGAGCCCATGTCGATCTCCTGGTCAAACTCAGTGCGGATGTCGTCGAGTGTGCCATCGTCCCCAAAGGCCCCCCACTCCATGTTGATACACATCCGCCCCTCGTCGCCCTCCACCGTGTCGATGTAGCGCATCTCTTCCATGTAGCAGGCATTGCTGCCCATGCCTGGGCAAAACAGGAAACTGCTCAGTGCCCACCTGCACTGTCCTCCCCCAGCCCACATCTCCCTCTTATTCCACTGTTCTGAGACAGTGGTGTCCCAGGGTGGCTGGGATTCCTTGGTGCAGAGTCCTAGGGCATCTCAACATGGTCCAATCCACCACCCCCCGCAACTCCACAAGTCCTGGCTCAGCCCTCCAAAGTGAACACATAATTATCTTCCAATATGAAGTACAAAGGAACTTCCAGGCCATGGACCCCTCCTCCCTTTGCAGCCCACACCCCCATCCATTGGCCAGTGTTCACGTACCCACAATGAGACCAATCTCGCAGTTCTGGTCATCATAGCCACAGGTCATCATGGTCGCAACTGTGTCATTCACCATGGCCACAATATCAATATCAAAGTCCTGTGGGGACAAAAGGGGGGCTCTGACCGTCATCATCACAGAAAGGTTACAGATGGGAAGATGGAGAGAAAGAGCAGTGAGACACACAGCTCAAGGGCAATAGGGCTGCCCCCTTAAGTAACCCCACTCAAAGCCAAAGATTAGAGCTGGAAATCAGGTCCAGATCCAATCTAATAATGCATGTCCCTCCCCACCCTGCTTGTCCTCAACATGGAAGACTTTCCTGACACCAGCCCCTGTAATCTAGTTCACAGCCATCACTACACTAAGAAGAGCCCGTATTGTCATCACTGTCTTCTCTTTCTCTTTTTTCTTTTCTTTCTCTCTTTCTCCTTCCCAGAAGGTCTTGTCCTCTCTCTGCCTCATTCCACCCTAATGCCAACATCATCCCAACTTTCTTACTTGAAAATGATATTCAAGTCTTCTTCAGGTTAAGAACTAAAGGGTTTTTCTTGCACCAAGACTAAGATTATTTATCCATCATGCTAATCTGAAGACCCCAAAGGCATCTGACCATAGATAAGATTAGCGGTGTGATAAACATTTTGCAATATATGTAAGTCAAGTCATTATGTAGCACACCTTAAACTTATACAGAGCTGTATGTCAATTATATCTCCATAAAACTGGAAAAAGATAAAAAATAAAATAAAGATTATTGGGTAAACATAGCAGGGAAAAAGAAAAGAAAATCTCTCTTTAAGAACCACAAAAGATTCCTGTGTTGATTTGAGGTCAGGGAACGACTTCAGAGTGTACCCAAAAGAATGTAAAGATCCCCCAGACCCCAAGCTCCCACCTTCCCACCCCTGCTGTCCCCACTCACCCCTCTCCTCTGGATGGCCTTCCGGATCAGAGTTACCACATCTCTCCCTTCTACACCCCTAGACTTGAACCCCTTGGTCCAAGAGACTAGGAAACTCTGGAAAAGGACGACGGAACGAACATTAATTCCTCACAAAACTCAGACCACATCCCTCATCTAATCATCATTAGGAGACTCCTGTCATGGGGATAAACTCAAGTCATGATTGAATTTGTGTATTGTTTCCTGGAGAGCCTAGGAAGGAAAAACTTGGGCCCTGTCAAAGACCAAGAAAGGAGATTCACTGAATGATTCTTTCATGATTTACTGCCCCCAAGAAGTAGAAGGAGAAGGCTCTAGAACTGCCAAAATAAGATACTTGTATGCTCACATCATTAACTCCCCAGACATCTTTCCTCCAAGGATCATTATCGTAACACTTTAGATCAAAGGAGTTCCTGACTAATTTCTCATTCCTGTTTCCCTAAGAGGGATAAAGATAACATGCAATGTATGTGGGGTTGCACGTCATTCTCTGAGGGGAGAGTGATAAAGACCCCCTTCTCTGATACTTCCTCACCATCCCCTCACACTGACATATACTCACCCAGAGGACAGAACTCTCAATACTCAAACATCGTCCATGCAGTCCATCAGAGTGGCCTCCAACACCACAGAAGCCGGTGGCTCAGAGTTCCTCCCAGTCCTCCCAGGCCAAAGAATGAAGGAATCAAAGTGTCGGAAGAACTCATCTTACCTCGTCCAGTTTCGTTTGGATGCAGGGGAACGAGAAGGTAAAACCCAAGGGGAGCTTCTTGTCTTTGATTTGTAGCTTATCCATGAAGTTGGCCAGGCATCCGGCAATGTGGTCAAACAGCTAAGGGTACACGATAAAGGAAGATGAGCAGGGAGTCAGAAAAGCATACAGATTAAGAGCATGGACTTTGGGCTCAGAAAGGAACTAACCCAATGTGTACAAGATATGTATCCCCCTCTGAAGCATTACTTTGCTCATCTACAAAATGGGGGTGATAACTGTCCTGCCTTCAGAGAGTTACCAAATGGATTAAATGAGTCAATACTGACAAGGGCTTAACACTAGTTAGTGCTTGCTAAATATGGTCTTCCACTGAAACCATTTATCCAAACTACTGTCAAAATAACCCCATGAGGCAGGGGTAATCATAGCCAAAGCCAATCAGAAAGTCATCACATGCCCTGGCAACAGAACATCCTTTGGTGGCCCTGTCAGAAGCCCCCTTGACATGAAGGCACAGCTGATTATCTTACCAGAAAGGGCAGCCCATCTTATTTTACCAGAAAGGGCAGCCCATCTCACTGCCAAGAAGTATTTTAGCATGCCTGTCTCCTGTGACTGGGGGAGTGGGTGGGACATTCTCTTTTGGCATTCTATGAACGAACTCAACAAAACAAGTAACTTTTATATTTTTCCTCCAATCTAGAAAACTAATTTCTTTGGGGCAATTCAAAGAAGTTATCTTCATCTTCTAACTTCAAAATGGAATACCATGAAGAGCGCTGAAGAATAAATAGGGTTTTGTGGATGGGTAGCCTCACACCTGTGACCACGCTAACTCCAAAGAAAAATCCTAAGCCTAAGAAAAAGCTGTATTCACAATCATCCAGGCTTTCAATCAGTCCCAAAGCCCACAGCCCCATGGCTTCCTTCTTGCCCACTCAACATCCTCAAAGAGAAGTTGGTGACCCCTCCAGATGCTTAGAGGCTGAGGCCAGGAGCATTCTGGTGCAAAAAGTAAGCAGCGGCCAAAGTGAGCAGATTCCAAGGGCCAGGTTGACCAGATGACAAAATCTAAAAGCCAAGGGAGATGGAGGAAATATTCCTTTTCCTCTCCAGGCAGAAGCAAGGAATATTCCACTAAACTTTTGGGTTCCCAGCAGCATCACCGTCATCATGTTATAAATGCAAATTCTAGAGCCCTAAAAATCTGCTGACTCTGAAACTGTTGGGGGGGAGACCTCCAAGTGATCCAGAAGCAGTCCTTTGAGAACCACTGCACTAAACCATGAAAAGTCTTTGCATTTACAAAGGAAGTGAGAGGTTGGGTGTGGCAGGGTAGGCTGAAAGGCCCACTGCTCCCCAGATGTCTGGAGTATGCTCATTGGGAAGGATCCAGGAAGACATGGCCACCCCCATCTAGAAGGGGGCCAGCTCTAACTGAACTTCCTGCATCAATCCTGTCCCTCTGTCTGATCACATGCAAAAATTAACCTCAGCTGCTGCTGAAATTCTCAATCTCCAAACCAAAACATTCTCAAGAGCAAAGGCTGGGCAAGGACAGGATTCTCTCACTAAAAGGTCAACAACACAAAAGTGCCAACTCCCTTGAGCAGAGGTCAAGTATTTTAATATGTAAATAGGGTTTCGAGATAGATACTCAACAAGTTCCGTTCTGTTGGGAATTCGATCAGAGCCAAATTCACGGATGGTTAAACAAATTCCCAGCACCTTCTTCCTGGTACTCTAGCCAAAATGATCGTTAGTACCTATAGTTTTTATCCAAAAAAAAGGAAATTGCAGAAGCTGTGCAAAGAGATAAGGCCAATCATCGGAGATGGGGGGAGGGGAAGCTTTAGATGGGGGAAAAGCAAAATGGTGTCCCCTCACCCAGCCCTGATCACGACTCCCTTTCCAACTGTGCTGCCAACAGGAGACAGAAAAAACAGAGAGGCAGTGAAGAGGCATTAAATAACGCACTGCCCAATACACTAGCCACTAGCTATCTGTGGCTACTTCATTTAACTAGAATTTCAAAAAATTAAGTCACTTCCTCAATCACATTAGCCATATTTCAAGTGCTCTATGCCACAGGTAGGTAGTGGCTACCATATTGCACACAGCAGATACAGAACAGTTCCACCATTGCGGGAAAGTTCTATTGGACAGAGCTGGATTAGAAAAACCTACACTTTTTTCAAAGTGGGGAAGAGGAAACCATCTGCTTCCTTAATTGGACGACTATCTCCTTTTCTGTTAGCTGATGATCTAGGGATAAGATACTGGGAGGAAAAGTCAACACCTTCCTGCCATAAAAAGGCTCAGAGGGCACCATTTTATGAAGTTAGACAAGTTTCCTTTTCCCTATCGGTCTGAGAATCTGCTCGTTCCCGTTCCCACAAGATGCACTTTACAAATCTTAAGTGGCTGCTACTACAATTTGTAATTCACTGCTCTCAAGTGGAAGTTCGTGTACTGAAAGACAGATTTCATCCAGGGACCCACACTGCCAGGTTCACAGCTTTAAAAACCTTTGCAAGTGTTAGGTTTGGTGATTTGGTCTTGGTTTTAACTAAATTTTATTTTAAAAATCTATTGGTTTTCTTCCAAGTAAAAGATTGATACCTGAGATCAAATACAGGGGAAAAAACACCAGTAATCCCGCCACTAAAAAAGCCACTCTGAATTTCCTTCTTTTACCAAGTGTTTGCTGCCACTTTTAGGCATATAGTATTCTTTCTCTTCCTTAGGGTGAAATACCTATATTTTTTCTACTTTGCTATATATTTCATTTTTATATAGCCCTTTTTCCATTTATTTGAAACTTTTTTAATATCACAATTGTTTTATAGTTTCTTCCAGGTGGATCTCACAGAATTTTTTTTAATTTGGACCAAAACATTTTGTGTATGTACACCGAAGCTATGTGACAACCTCAGCAGAGCTAAAATGCCATAATCCCAGGGACTTGGCCTCCCTTGTCTATCCCCAGCATTAAAACAAGGAAAGCAGGTTGACTCGGGGCTACCCCCAAAGACATCGAAAGGGTCTAAAAATATCTCCCCCACATGTTCTACCCACGGTCCAAAATTCCTTTCCCGAGAGGAGGCTGGCATGGTGCGAAGGACAGTGCAGTGGGAGTAAGAAGGCTCCACCTGCCCCAAGCCCCGAGGCCCAAGAGGTACCTATGCTGGAAGAGCATCTTACCTGGATTCCATTTTCTCCATTCTCTTTTTTTTTAAGTTATTTTAGTGGGGTCATATAGGTTTATAACATTGTGTAATTTCAGGCGTCCATCATTATATATCAGTTTCTGTATAGACTGCAGCGTGCTCACCACTAATAGTCTAGTTTTTATCCATCATCATACATATGTGCCCCTTTACCCCTTTCACACACCCCTCTCACCCCCTTTCCCTCTGGTAACCACTGTTCTCCTTATCCATGTGTTTGTTTATCTCCCATTCACTCTTTTATTGCAAACACACTGGGCATAAAATACAGCAGCAATAGCCAGCGCTCAAGCCCAGAGTGATCCCTATACCTGTGTCAGTGTCCTGGAATGTCTTCGGTGACTCCTAACCATGAACTGAGAGAAGCTGAAGAAGGAGCAGAAAGAATGTCCCAACGAAGGCCTTTGTAGAGCAGGTGAAGGGAATACCAGCTTCCCTGGACACCCAAGAACAGAGAATAAAGGCTGGACCTGTGGTGTGGTGGCAGTGAGTGTCCCCTCTGTAGGAGGGCTTCCCTGAGGGAACTCTTGAGAGGGAGAGCCCCCAAAGGGCCTCCTCCATAAGATTTCATGTCTGCAGGAGCACCAGCCCCTTCAGGGAGTGCTTCCCTCTCTGGAAGCGGGAGCAGGTAGTCAGGACCCAGGATCACCACGTTGCCTAGTTCCTGGAAACACCTTTCATGTGGACCACATCACACGGCCTACAAAGTGGACGGAGCCCCCTAGAGTTTACAAACACAGGCTCTGATCATATTGATCTGGCTCTGTGTCTTGCCTCTGGCCCCTCCCATGCCTGTGACATAAGGCCAAGTCACTCAACATTTCAAAGCCCAGTTCCACATCTATAAAGTGGAGATAACAGGAGCACCCAGCCTTGTAGTGTGAGGATAAAATGAGGAAATCCATACAAAGTGCTTTTCCTCTGCCTGACACACATGAGGTCATCATGTGTCAGTTCCTCCCCCTGTTGGCTGCTATCTGTTACAACACAACATTTATTACTTTCTGTGGGGGGTATGTATACCCTGTTGGTCCAGTTGGGCTTTAAGCCCTGGAGGCAAAGGGCCAGGACTTTGATTCCCAGCAAAGATCAGTGCCCAATGCATAGCAGATGCTCAATACATGTTTGGAGACTATTGCAATGGCAGTTCCATCCTTGCTCATCTTTTTCTTACTATTACAGAGAGGATTCTTACTTGGATTTCACATTTCTTCCACATCCACTCCTTTTATTGTGTAGATGCTGAGTATAAAACTTGTCTCTAGAATCCACTGAGATATGGAGATGACTAAGCATGGTTTAAGGCCAATGTGGAAATACATGGTGCCCATTGCAATGCCAAATAGGACAGACATCCCAAAGTTGGATTTTGGTGTTTTCTCAACAGGCTCCCATCCTTGTGTGCAAAACCTCTTCTGTTTTGTTTGTTTGTTTTGGTGAGGAAAATTGGTCCTGAGCTAACATCTGTGCCAATCTTCCTCTGTTTTGTATGAGGGTTGCTACCACAGCACGGCTTGAGGAGCAGTGTGTAGGTCCGCACCTGGGATCCGCACCCAGGATCTGAATCCGTGAACTCTGAGCCACTGAAGCTGAGCATGTGAACTTAACCGGTGCCACAGGGCCGGCCCCAGACCTCTTCTGTTTTAGATGGTCAAGAGGAGAAAGCAAATAACCACAGAGGCAAAGGAGTAGGTTCCATTTTCATGCAACACTAGGGCAACAACTGTTGCGTCAAAGAGGGCTGCAGAATGACCACAGTGGCAGGTGGTGGTGTCAAACCACAATTGCGTATCCTACTGACTCACCACTCAATAACACCACTAACAACCACAGGTGTCCAGCAGTGTGGGTCCAGCCTCCTAATAGCAGGTTTTCCTCAACAACCAGTGCACACAAGCAGACCTTAAAAGGGATGGCAAATCAAAACACCTCCCGGGCCAGCCCTGGTGGCCTAGTGGTTAAGTTCAGCATGTTCTGCCTCAGCAGCCCAGGTTCGGTTCCCAGGCATGGACTTACACTGTTTTATTAGCAGCCATGCTGTATTGGTGGCACACATACTAAAAAAATAAAAGAGGAAGAATGGCATGGCCAATCTTAGCTCAGGACAAATCTTCCTCAGAAAACAAAACAAAACAAAACACACCTCCCACTGCAGCACATCCAGACCCCAGGTTCTCACACACATGCTTCCTGCTCTCCAGCCCACGCGCACCTCTCTAGATGGAGGCGCCCCACCTAGCCTCCAGGTATGGAGGAGTGTCACCACAGAGAGAGGGGTCAGGAAATCCGAGCCTCAGGCAGGGTCTCCTCCCTCCGGACCACAGAGAAGGAGCAACATCTGCTCTTGTGGGGCCCAGAGCCCCAGTGGCCACCCTGAGAGAAGGGTCATACCTGGGTGCCACTGCCTTGCATGATGTCCTCAGGGATGGCATAGATCTGGTTCTCCATCTCGACCTTCTGAAGCCCGTTGTCCGTTACTCTCACCCGAAGCACACGGAAGTTGGTCCCTCCAAGGTCCAGAGCCAGGAACTCTCCATGTTCTGCAGAGAGAAGAAGGGCCACTATTAGTGTGAGAAAGATAAGATCAAATTGCTTCACTGAGATGAAGACTTAAAACCCATGAGTCCCTCCATCAACACTGGTCATCTCTGGGTAACAGGGCGGCCAGTGGGTCTGACTTTTTTCCATGCACCTTTATGTATCGTCTGATTCTTTTTCTTAATGCTAAGCACTTTTATACTCTTTTAGAATTCACGTAAACAATGAGATAGTCTCACATCCAATGATGGGGTGCCCATCCCCTCAGGAGAGCTGACTACTTCCCAAGGACTTTCAGCCAAGTCCCCATTGAGCTTACAGGATGCATCAAGTCCTGAGCCAGGAGTCCACGTCCCCAACACACTCCTCATGTTGCTACAAGCCTGTGAGCCCCTGGACCTACTGCCAAATGGTAAGCCCCATACAAAATTTACTTTTTAATGTTTGCATACAGTGATGACAACATCCCATGGCAGAATGAGAGGGTCAGGTGATGGAGTGGAATGGGGTCCAAATAAATTAAGAGATCGAGCATATAAGCCAAGCAGGTGCCCCCAAAAGAACCCAGGCTTATTCAAATATGAGAAAATACTGACCCAAGAGTATTAAGACAAGAGTCAGGCCACTCCACTGTCCCACTTGGACAAGTCACAGAGCTGGGTCGAAAGGGAGACTCCACAGACACATGTAGGGCAAGATCTTCAGGTGTCACCAGGACAGCACAGTCCCTTCCCTCCAGGAAACAAGCAGTGCAGACAGGAAACATCCAGATTCTAGACAATAATACAGCTAGCTGAAGGGATGTGCTCCATTGTATGGCATAGAATGAAAGTGCTGAAGAGGCGCAGAGGCCAAAGCTAGGGCTGGGGGCTGACGGGGCAGGCAAGGGCTGGGGGAGGAGGTGGGCTCACCCCCTTGGCAGCCTCTTCAACCAGTAATGGCTCCATCAGTAATGGTTCTATCAGTCTTCCACTGCCTTGCTGCACACCTTCTCAAAGGATACAGGGTTATTTCCTGGGGGATTCACTTACCGGCATGTTTGTCAACACTCAGCCCCTTTCCTGATGGGAGATTGCCACTGAAGTACGGCAGAATAGCTAGTAGGGTCAGGGAAATGCTCTGACTAAATGAACCAGTGAGGGTTTATTCTGGGCCCAGGTTCCCTTAGCAGCAATAACTCTTCGGCCCTAAGAAAAGCTACCTCTGCCCGGCTCTCTAAGGACACTACCCACAGCCTCTACACTTCAGAGGGGCAACTTGGGGTGGACATCATCCACCCTAGATTCCCCAGGGACTTGCCTCCACATAGTCACGGTCTGGTAGTACCAATATACAGAGACTGGCTCTGAAGCTCCTATTACCTACGTCAGAACTCCAGCCACTTTTTGCTCATGGCAAGTTCCTGAGCCTCTCAGCCCCAGATGCCTCATCTCTAAAACAAGGAAGTCATACTTCATGTGCTTGTTGTGAGGGGAAAAATGAGACAATGGGCCTCAAGCACTCATCAGTGCCAAGAACTTAGGACACACTCAATAAGTACTAGAAACTTTCCATCCAGGCTCTTAGCAAACACTGCCTGACGCCCACGGTTCAGTCTCTCAGTGTTAGAGATGCTTCATGGACTGAAAAGTAAAATCAACATCGCCAGGGGAGACTGCAGAAACAGTCCAAGAAAAGCCATTGGAATCTGTTCCAGCGACTTCAGCATTCCTCCTCAGGGGTACTAATTTTCCATTCCCTCCCCAGCATCTGGAGCCCCCCTCTCCCAATAGCTACAGTTGTTAGATAGCTGGGGCAATCTCAACCCCACCTAGGGTGATTCTGCCCACCTCACGGCCATGGGCAACTTTTCCAGGCACTCTAGTTCTGAGCCTCCCCCGGTAGTGGGACCTCAGCCAGACTGCAGAAAAAGCTATGTGCTGGTTATCATGGGGAATGAAAAGGAAAATCAAAGATGAACTGCCTGCATCAGCACTCTGCAGACAGGACACATGCAATCCGCTGAACTGGCGACCACGAGGGTTTGAGGCGGCTGAGGCTGCCCCTCGATGGTATGATTCAAGGGCAGCCCAGCTGGATTCACCGGAGGGGCGCAGCTCCATCAAGAAGGGTGGTTTGGCAGTATTTTCCGATGGACTGAGGGAAACCACAAATATTTACAGTTGATAATTCTGTTCCCAGGAAGGAATGTCAACTTGTGCTTTCTCTTCAGGCTCTGACAGAACAGACGTTTCTCTGCATCTCTTCTCGCCAGCATCCCCCTCCACAAATACACATGATCACAACTACTACAGCCAGGAACTATATTCCTTCCAGAGTTCAAAATCTCTGAGGCAGGCCCAGCATTATGACTTTTGGAGCTAAATCCCGAGGTGACCCCTTGGGACAGTGAACAGGTCCCACGCCTACTGTCCAGCTCCACACCAAGCCTGAGAAACCCTCACAGAGCAGCGGTTAAGAGCTGGACCTTAGAGATGGGTCGGCAGGCTTTGTCTTGAATTCCAGCTCAGCTGCTGCACTATCTGTGTGGCCTCTCTGAGCATGGCAACTCACCTGCAGGACAGGGCTCATAATGCTGACTTCTCCCAGGGGTCGTGAGGCTTACACGAAATACAGGACACGTTATATGTGAATATATAGGCACACAGTAAGCCGTCAATAAATGACTGCTCTCGTCACTGTTATTATTCCTTTGTTTGACAATGTAGCTCCTCTCCCAGTTCTTCTCAGCCCCTCCAATCCCTACCTACTCCTACTCCTGGCTCAAGTCCTGCCTCCACTGTGAACCTTCCAGGACATTCCAGAAGCCCAGAGCAGAGAGTGTCTGAGTGTGTGATGGAGCGTGAAGGAGGATCACTGTGGACCTGGGACAGTCAGACTGGATGGGCAGGAGCAAGGCTCTGAGGCAGGAAAGTATGCCTGTAGCAGGTTTCTTAAAGTACAAGCCACGTGGCAGAGGACCCAGCAAGGTCCAGAAAGATCATTCTGTTAAATATCATAGTTTGTTCTGAGGCAATGTATTAAGTAAACATCTCACATTGCATTTGCTCACTGATGGTTCATTTGTTGAACAAAATGTTTGAGTGTCAACCATGGGATTTATATATGAGACTGTCAGATCAGAGGGAAGATTCTTTTATTGTTAAGCATACTTACATGTCAGGAAAACAATTTTAACTTTTTAAAAATAAAAAAATACAAACATTTGATCTTTAAAAGTTGAATCGAGTACAAAAGTGGAAAAAAATCAAAAGCCAACATCTCTTTTTCTTCTCCACATCCTGAAAGTAACCACTATTAATGTTTCTTGGGTATTCTTATTTTATAAAGACAGTGCAGGTTGTTAACGAACACATTCCAAGAAAAGGGTCAGAATCACTAGTTCTAAGGTTATGTATTTTTAATTTGGAAGATGTTGCCAAATTATCTTCCTAAAAGTTCTCACCAGTTTCCACACAAACCAACAGGTGAGTCTCGCTGTCACCAGAGTCCATGCTATGTAGCAATTAATCTTTGCCAGCCTTCTAGGTCAAAGTGGTATCTCATTTTTTAAACTTGGTTTCTTTCTTTTGAGCAAGGTTAGACATTTTGAATTTTTGGCTGGGGTTTTGAATTCCTTTTCCTGTGACTTTTCTATAAGTGTCTTCTGCCTTTAAAAAAACTCATTATTTTCTTAGTAACCGAGAAGAGCTCTTTGTATAATAAGGAAAATAGTTTTTTGGTTGTCTATTTGGAATTATTTTTTTCCAGTTGGATGCTTGTCTTTTAATTTTGTTCATAGTATTTCTGCCATGCAGAAATGTTTAATTTTTATGTTTTCAAAATATTTATGGTTTCTGGGTCTTATGTTGTGTTCCCAAGAAATTCTGAAGAAGATGATGTGGGGTCACCACCCTTCCTGAATCTCTCCAATTCCTCCTAAATGCGGCCAGCACCACTGCCAAAATAAGGGAAGCAAAGTTTCGCCATAGTTTTGTTTAAAAGACCAAATTCATCTTCCATTTTCTTATCTGACTTTTTTGAAAAATGAAGCCCAGAACCCTGTCTTCATCTCTCTTGTCCCTAGGAGAGAGTTTGGACTTTCCCCCCTACAGCTGGATTGTCAAGGTGATAAAACAATGGAAAGGCAGAGGCAGGCGTGAGGAAGATTTAGTTGCTTAAAGGCCCTTCATGTACGGGGCTGGTCCAGTGGCGCAGCGGTTAATCGAGCACGTTCTACTTCTCAGCGGCCCAGGGCTCCCGAGTTCGGATCCCGGGTGCGGACATGGCACCACTTGGCACGCCATGCTGTGGCAGGCGTCCCACATATAAAGTAGAGGAAGATGAGGATGTTAGCTCAGGGCCAGTCTTCCTCAGCAAAAAGAGGAGGATTGGCAGCAGCTATTAGCTCAGGGCTAATCTTCCTCAAAAAAAAAGCCCCTTCATGTAGATCAGAGGGAAGATTCTGACCCTCTGATGTTTTCCATGGAAGAGAAACTAATGTTTGCTAAGTGATGGCCACTTTCTTTATAAACATGATCTCATTCATATAATTCTCAGCAATCCTGTTGGGCATTATAATCCAAATTTTTCAAATGAGAAAATGAAGGTTCAGATCAAGGAATTGAAACCAAGGTTGAAATCCAGGTCTGGCTCTCTAGCAAAGTTTTCTACTGCAACGAGCAAAGGGGCTGCTCATGGGAAAGTTGTAAACCCTCAAATAAGGAGTTCTTCATTAACAATGCCAAGAGCATAAAACCCAGGGGTCACCAGCAGCCTCCACGCTGGCCCGGGCAGTAGAGGAAGTGATACTATGGTTCAGCAGTTGAGTCACCCGGTTAAGGTCATGCAGGGATAAATGACCATTGGATTTGAACTGACCCTGAAGCCCCATGCTTGTCCCACTGCACCACACCCACATCTCTCCTGGCTCTGGTTCCTGGAAGCTGAGGATTACCTGGCTCAGAATCCAGGATGGAAGCAAATAAGCCATAAAGTGATGAAAAAGAAAGCAAACACACCCTAATCTATATCAGTAACTGTGCCCCCACCCCTCCCCGCCCAGCCGGGGCTTTCTAGATGGGAAAGTGCTCTCAGACTTGAGCGGGAAGTGGCAGACACGCGTCCACTGGAAAGAGGCAACATGCCCTTCTCCCCAGAGGAACCCAGGACCTGCTAAAGCTTGTCAATGCAGGCTTTTTTTGGGAGCCACAAATTGGTGCCATCTCATACACTTGTACCAAACCTCTGTTCCAACCTTACCGGACACTCTCCAAGCCCTCTCTGCTGAAGTGTCTCCTAATTAAATGCATACCCCTCCAAAAATGGACAAGAGGTACCAACCCTCTACTAAAAGAAAACAAGTGCTCAAAGAAGTGATGCTGGCTCACAGTTAAGGGAAAATGGCAATAGGAGTATGAGGTTGTGCCATCCTCCATCAAACTGTCCAGCAGTTAAGATTCAAGTTGTTCCCCTTGGCAGAGTTTGTTTGTTGACTCATTTCCCATCCAGCACTGTCATCCTGCCAACTTTCAGTGAGGTTCTTATCAAATACATAAGGTCAGCAAGCTAAAGAGGCTTCAATTTCTCCTAGGAACCCACCTGTCTCAGGGAAAGGCTGAGGACTAAAATGGCATTTGACTAACCGCCTGAACGCTAAGTCACCGTCATCTTAGTTGATGGAACATCAGTAATGAATTTGAGCAGGCCATCACTCCAGCATTGTTAAAGTCACTCACTACCAGGTGGCCTGGTACCTGACAATGTCCACGAGGTTTCTGAGGGGTGAGGGACAAGGGCCAGTTGAATTTTCCAACAGGGTCTATTTTCAATCATTAGGTACTTGCCACTAATTAAAATAGATTGCCACCTGTTCCTCTCATCAGGAGCTTGAAGTGGTGTGCCAACGAGTGCTCTAAGAGTGACCAGCAAACAGATTTGGCTTGGTTTTGTATTTTTAACCAGCAGGGCCCTTTTGTCAAAGGCACCTGCGTTCAGAAGTGGCAGTGCCCTGGCTGGTTAAGGCTGAAGCCAGAGCCCAACCCCTCACTCCCAGGGTTCTTCACATGATTAAATGGACTTCTTTGGAATCACAAGCTCCACAAGCCTCCTTTTTATTTATTTATTTTTTTTTATTTATTTATTTTTTTAAAGATTTTATTTTTTCCTTTTTCTCCCCAAAGCCCCCCAGTACATAGTTGTGTATTCTTCGTTGTGGGTTCTTCTAGTTGTGGCATGTGGGACGCTGCCTCAGCGTGGTCTGATGAGCAGTGCCATGTCCGCGCCCAGGATTCCAACTGACGAAACACTGGCCCGCCTGCAGCGGAGCACACGAACTTAACCACTCGGCCACGGGGCCAGCCCCTACAAGCCTCCTTTTTAAACAAGTGGATTTTATGGAGCATTCCCAGAGTTCTGGGGATCCTTGAAGGTGGCCAATTCTGCCCTTAGTGAGGGTTAAGAGAGGCCAATTAAGGCACAGCCTCACCTCCCACATCCTCAGTTCCAATTTTATCTCTTAACTGTCTTATATATGGCGTACATGAAAGATTTCATTCTGTCTAAAGTTGGGAGTGGGGTCCACTACTTCAAAAATGTTTTAAAAATCACTACTTTGAGAGTCAAACACTGAATCTATTCTAGGATCTCCCAACAAAATACTTCCCAATTCTGCAATGAGTTATTTCAACACTGAGCACTGAAGACAGTTACTAAAAGCTTCTCAGCTGCCTAGTGCCATATGCAACCCAAGTCCCTGACTGGACAGGAAGAAAGGGAGCAACCAGGTGCGCTGTGGCGAGAACCACGACAGGAGTGTTACAGAAGCGACTATTTCTGCTCAGACAAGGGAGCCTTCTTGGGAGGCAACAGGAGCCAGCCAGGTCATAGTGGATGGATATGCAGTTGCCAGAGAGAGAAAAGGGGGCACATAAAGAGATGTGGAAGTTCATGGTGTGCTCAAGGAATGGCATGTCTGGAGTGGCAGCAACACAGGACTCCTATGACATGGCTACAAACACCCAGCAAACGCTAAGGCCAAGGACTTTGCATTTTAATCAGAAGCTCAGATTTGTGTTTTCAAAAGGGCTCCAGTAGCACTGTGGACGATGGGTCTTGAGCCAGAGAGGCTGGTGAGAGGCTGCTGCGATATGGTCTAGCCGAGCAGTGATGAAGGCCTACCTTCCAGGGCCATGTAGGGTGGTCAGTCACCCTTGTTTGCCCAGGATTGGCATGGGAGCTTCAGTGCTAAAACTGGGAGAGTCCCAGGAAAGCCGGGATGGCTGGTCACCCCAGGGCCACGTTAGATCCAACCATGGGGTCATCAGCTTTTCTTTGTCACCCAATGTCCAAGACATGCAGCCTCCAACTTTGAGGTACAAGACATACATCCATACTTTCACATCCAGTTTCTGAAGTGGCCCTATAATGATTCAGTGCCCCCAAAGGAACCTGTTCCTACCTGCCCTGCAATAGCAGGAATGCTTCCAGGGGCCCCAGGTGACTGCACTGAACATTCCAATCTTCCTCCATGGAGTGGCTCTGGGTTGAGGGGGACCTTGTTTATCCTTTAGTTTTCAAGTGCCTGCTAGCAATGGGCCACTCTAAGAATGTATGGCATGGACACCAACTAAGAAAAGGACTAAAAAGATAAACCTCCAGGTCTCAAGTGAGTAATCCAGTAAAACTACCTGTGGCAGATACAGGATTCGAGGCACCTATTTCCCATGTTCATGGAACCACCACAGTCCCTATAACATCCGGTAAGCTCCAGGATCCCAGCTACTCCATCATAATACAATACCATCTCCACTCAATAGCTCAGAAATAAAGTGACCCCATGTTACTAAAGCTATCAAATCACACAGTCAGTTAATGCTGGTGTCTGGTACATTCAAGGATGAGGGTAATCTGATCTTCTACATCATTGGTTTTCAAACCATCTTAAGCAACAGGGTGCCAAATGCCAAAAGATAGAAATAGAGAAACACAGAGCTGCTCCAATTGAAGGGAGGGTCTGGGAGCACATAAACACATTTTGAGTGCCCCCAAGCTCCCGGAGCACCATCAGAGAGCACCGTGCTGGTGCCTTCATACTCAGGAGATGTTTCTTAAGCTCAAAAAATGTGCCAGTCACAGACAGGTGTAACGTTAGCTCCAGAGATGTGAAACTGCTCTTCAAAAGATTAAAACGTGGTTATTTCAATGTGCTGAGCGTGTTGAGATTTTCAGGCAGGCAGACCTGAGTTCAAATCCCGTTTTAATATGGATTAGCCATATGATTTCAGGTAAATTATTAGAAATCTGATACTCAGATTTCATCATCTGTTAAAAGAGGGTAGATATTAATAACCTCCCTAGCCAGCACCTTCCCTCCACTCCCCAGGACTCACACACACACACACAAACACACAGGTTTTGGTCAAGATTCAATGCAATGAATGAATGTGTAAAGTGTTTGGCATAATGCCTGATGCATGTAAATGTTTCGTAAACTCTAGCGACTACTGTATGGTGGCTATTTATCACTGCAATCTCTAGTTTATATTATAGGCACCACATAAACCCAGTTATTAACCTGCGTGTGTGCTAGCTATTGATCAGTCTCCACTGCGTGGCTGTTGATATAATGCTGAGCAACCAAGATAAGGGCTCTTTTCAGGGTTTTACCAGCCTCTTTGCAAGCTGTCCCCAGCCTCGTCTCTCTTTATCATATTGTGTAATTGTGTTATATGACCCAGTATCACTCTGTAATCATTTCATCTGTGTAAGCCTTATCTCCCCGAGGACAATTTTTACTCTTCAAAGGCAGGACACGAGGACCAGCCTCAGAGGGGATTCTATGGAACGAACTGAACAGCGAGGGCTGAGTTACTAACAGAAGAATTAATGCATTGTGCTAGCAGTGTAGGGGGTAGGTAAACATAAAACGTGCCACTAGTGATGCACCTAAGGGCCAGGCATTGACTCACCCGTGAAAATAATTCAAAACTCAGGGAAGGGGGCAGAGGCTCCATCTGGGTAGACATGGTGCTGGGCGTGCCTCCTGCTGTGGTGCATTGTGGCTGCCTAGGACCGTATTCACAACACAAGTGAGAAGGTCATGTATCCGACTGTCCCCTTAATTCTCAGACAGCCAACCTTCCAGTGTTTCCTCTTTTTACAAATGAGGGAAAGGAGGATGAGGCATAAATGACCTGCTCTAAAGCATACAGCTTGAACTCAACCCCATTTAAGCCTAGAAT